ATTCGACAAAGTTTGGCATGAAAATCTGCTCAACAAGCTCAAAGCAATGGGATTATCGCCGAAACTTTGCACTTGGTTTGAAAGTTACCTAAAGGACAGATCCATTTATGTTGCACTGGATGGCCAGAACTCCAACTCTTACCAAATAAATGCTGGTGTGCCACAGGGAGCAATCCTTTCGCCAACTCTTTTCCTGATTTACATAAATGGCCTCATAGATAAAACAGTAAATCCACTTTATTGCTTTGCAGACGATGGCAATGTAGTCTCCTCACTCATACCACCCACAGGTCTTTCCGCACGTGAATTCCATCATCTTAGACTAACTCAAATATCGCAGATAAATAACGACCTGGAGATAATAGAGGACTGGGGTAACAAAAACCTTGTACAGTTCAACGCGCAGAAAACCCAAGCAGCTCTGTTTTCAAAAAAGACCAGCACCGGTGAGCCAAACATCATGCTATCTGGAAGTGCTGTCACATTACAGAGTCAGTTGAACATCTTGGGGGTTACTGCAGAGACCAACATGTCTTGGCACAGTCACGTGGCAGATATTGCTAAAAGGGCCTCCCAAAAGCTGGGGGTGCTATTTCGTACAAGACATCTGTACAAACCAAGCCAATTGCTGACACTCTACAAAGCCCAGATTCGACCAACTATGGAGTACTGCTCACATATATGGAGTGCAGCACCCAAACATACCTTAATGCTTTTGAATACCGTGCAAAAACGAGCTATCAAGCTGATCAATGACCCCGCACTTACTCGTAACTTGGATGGTCTCGAACATCGCAGATCTGTGGGCGATTTATCTCTCTTCTACAGGTACTATCACGGAAAATGCTCTGAAGAGTTGGCACGTATGATTCCACCGAGAGTAGCACCTACCAGGCGAACCCGTCAAACAGACGGTAACCATGAATTTACTGTCAAACTAGAGGCACCAAGAACCTCATTATATCAGAATTCATATCTCTGGAGAACAGCATCGCTGTGGAATAAACTCCCTGCGACGGTTTTCCCTGCAGGTTACAACCTGAACCGTTTCAAGACCAACATACACCGACATTTCCGCGCACTTGCCGCTTCTCGAGCGTGATAGGACATTTCCTTGCGAGTGCGCATATCCGTAAAAAAAAAAAAAAAAAACCAAGCATTTCCACTAAGCCAGGCTTTATGAACTACGGAGAATATGGCCCATAGTCTCAGTGTTACCCATCTAAACATGTCTAATTCATACCCAAGTCACTTTGAAAAATAAAATGCCATTTTTTAGTTCCCCTTTGATTTTAATTTAGTTTAAATAAATCTAATTAACAGCAGAAAGGTTCCCTTATATCACTCAAAGACCATGCGTAATAAAAAAAATCACCATTTTTTCAAATTCTGCCGAAAAAGTTCGTTGACAAAAAAAAAATAACCGAAAGGTTGTACCCCCCTCCGCGTTGCAGACGAAACTAAAAATGGAAGATGGTTGAAAATAGAACCGATACTCCTCTTAAGACATCATTAATGTCTTATTGCGGCGACACCTATTTAAGAAGTGAAGAAATAGCTAATATTTTGAATGTCTCACTGTTACCCGTGTCTCAATGTTACTCACTTTCCCCTATACTATCTCAGCATAGTTCCATTTTCCTCCGTTATGCCATGGTGAAGCGATAACGACAAATCCCTGCAGTTGGGTACACAAGCAAACTCCCAAGTTAATAGTTGTTAATAGTATTGATGATTCAAATTTTTTCTACGTACCTATATCACATATTTTAGAAAAAGAATTGCTGATAAAAAAGCACACTTTTCTTCCGGAGTCCAGCCTTTTTGATTCTACCTAAAACCCCTTCAATCTTAAAAGATTCTAACGATACAGTAAGTTAGGAGCTCGTTGATTCACGGAGCTTGATGAGAACGGGCTCCTATTAAAGTTAGGGTATCGTCAATTCTAAGTAATAGTTAGCTTCTTGGTAACGTCATCCAGTTTCCTATAGTGTACACAAAATATGGTTATACCATATTTTTTGGTCTCTAGCAATTCAGGAGGTGACTAGGGTTGCAGGAGTCTTCTCCAAGTCCATATTTAACTATTTAATTTACTATTTAGTGCAATTCCGTCTATAGGCTGGGTCGAACTGCAATTTTCCTATTTGAAAGCCCCCAGTAGGATTCTGTCGGAAAATTACCGAATATGGAAATTTTTAGAAAAACCTGATACAGCACAGTCCAGGATACTTCAGATTGAATAGGAATCTATTTTTGTTTGATCTGATTTTCAAAATTTTGGAGTGGTTGAACGTCAAGATAGCCCCCCAGTAGGATTTTGTGGGAAAATGACCAAATATGGAAATTTTGAGAAAAACCTGCTACAGCACACTCCAGATTGCATATGGGAATCCATTTTCGTTTGATCTGATTCACAAAATTTTAGGGGAGCTGAGCGTCAAGTTAGCCAGCCCCTCATTTTTTTTCCCTATAACTTTAGTATCGAAACCGGAACGGCACAGTTCAAAATATTGTAGTGACGCAGAAATAAACCACCAAGAAAAACCGCCAAGAATAAAATAATTGTTAATAGATCTGGTTATTTTGTTGAAAAATGAAACAAACAACAAAAAAAACATAAATCAAACTGGAAAAATGAAATCAAAATCAACTACAACTTACCGAAAATTAAACACCCCAGGAGACCACAACACTCAACCAGTTACAGCCGGAACTTCTAGTAAAATGATCTAACCAGCGAATAAAGAAACAACAGAAACTGAAATCCCTTCTCAAAGATCCGATAAGTGGGGTCACACAAAAATAGATGATTCAATCGGAATGTGTCCCTGAAATGCGGCACTTTACTAACATGACGCCATCTGTCACTGAACCCAAAATTCCGGGAAAGCACCATAATTTACCCGCGTGCTGTATGCCGACAAAGAAACGGTACAGCATTCCACTAAAAAGAGGGCCGAAATGACGAAATCTTGATGTCAAAGCACTCATAAAATTGGGGGAGAAATTAGGCCGCCGAAAGAACAAAGGAAGGAAGGAAAATATTTTTATATAAAAAGCCTGAATTGCGATAAAAATAGCAGTGTCGGTTCAAAAGAAGTATCAGTCAAGAACGGTCAAAAGTGTCAGTCGAGAACAGTCAGAACGGGCAGTCAAGTGACAGACGAAGCAAGCAGAGTCCAAAGTCAAAGATAGTACGAAAAGTTTCAAGGAGGCAGTGCGAAAATTTCGGGTTCATAAAGTCAAGTCGTAAAACTAACGTTTCAGTAATTACGTGTGTGCCAGTAGAATTTTAAAGTAACAAATACATCTTGTAAGTACATTTACACTGTAAAGAAAGGAAATTTGTACTCTTTATAAAATAGGACAAAAAGTTAATGAATTGATAAATTTACTAAAATTAAATAATTATCCCAAAAGGAATTAAAACATTTTTAAGATGATATTTCATGATTAATAGTTGGTAAAATAAGAAAATTTGAAGCTAAATTTTGTAAAAGAACTTTTTTATTGAAACATATTTCGTTATTCATAATTATTTATAAAATTTTGAATTGGGATTTTCGTGATTGATAATTGAAAAAAAATCTGAACTTTCTAATTTAACATTATTTTTGATAAGGCAAAATTTTGATGACATTTACCTATTGGAATTTTTGTAATAGAATTGAGGTATTTGTGAGAAAAGAGTGAAATTTTAAATAAGTCAGAGTAAAAAATTTTGGTTATTATATTTCAAGCTTTTCTGGCCGACGCCCGATAAATTTATTTTAAATAAAATCATATTAACATTAATAATAGTCCACAGTTGTGTTTTACTCTCACACCCGAAATTAGGACCCATATCAATCTGTGTCTCCACTCAGAAACAAAAGCTGCCGCTCGCCAATTCAACATCATATAAGTTTCTGAATTGGGGTCTCACAATATCATCAGCACAGTATCAGTAACGCTTCGAGCACAGTAAGTGGTTGCAATTTTGTTAGAAAATTCGAATGTTGGAAGGCTAACTGACGGAGCCTCGTTTTTGTTTATTTATTTTACAGAACAGTTTTTGATGACATTTTATTTCCAATATTTTTAAGGCAGTCGTGAGTGTGTCCACAGATTTGGTGCTCCTTTTTTGCCTTCATGTTATCAGTAGTTTTCGCGTTTCGTATATAAGTTCGATGGGGCTTTTTGAAGCTGTTCTGCTGGACTACACGATTAATCAAAACTTTTGTATTATCTTTTTTAATATATTTATTTAATCATAGCATCAGCTTTCTTTTAAAAAGAGAAGAATACATACAATTATGGAAGATTAAGTGGTTAGGTATAAGATGAATCTGTTCGGCGTGTCAAGTGTATAGTTGCCCTTAAGTGACTGATAACAAGCAATATTGAGATAAGAGAGGGATGCTGCTAACAAGAACAAAAATAAAAGACGTTTGAAGCGACAAAAAAATTGAACGTCACAGAATGGTAGCAATAGTCGAGTGCACAAAAACAAAAAATTATGACAAGTACCAAACACATGGGAACGAAGAGACAAAAACAAATCTGACAAACAAAGGAATTAGGTAAGTTATAACAGAGTCAAAGTGATATTGAGAATAGATACTGGGCTACTTTGAATATAAAACCACAGGAAGGAGCGTTTTCTATCTGTCACCACAGACAACGGAGTGACGGAAACGGCCATATTGAGCCTTCAAGTATGACTCATAATTTGTTTAGGTGGTTTGCTGTGTTCTCATTCAAGTGGATGTTTAATGGATTTTAGCGGTTTCAAGTGATAATAAGCACTGGGTTAGTGCGGAAAGAGTGAGTCATGATATTGACAATCATATTTAAATAAATATACCCCGCTGACAAACCGGAAACATTAGCCATATGCAACCTCCACATATGCTGGTCGCGCAGATTCGAGGTTTTATATTCAAAGGTTTAATATATATCTAAATATAATTATGATAATAATAGGTACAGTATATGTAGAAATATTTAAAACTTACCCATAGTATTTTTGCTCAATGTTTTCTTGATCAATTTGTCTTGATTACTATTTCTTATTATAGCTAGACTACTGTGCATTGAATGGCACTGGTAAAATGCATCTTGCCAAGTAGCTTTTTCTTTGCTAAAGAAATAGCACCTATGGCTTAGTCTTATAAAATTTGAAGGACAACCATAGTTTTTAGCTGCTTTTCTCTCCACTGATGTAGCTAAAAAAAAGGAGAGATATAACTAAAATATTATTGTAAGTATAGTCTAGGAAAATTGTCGATTTTCAAAAAAAAAAAATCCTACCCAAATGAACTTTTCAGGAATGATAGGGGGCGGGTGGGTGATCATGAAACCGAAAATATCAAACATTCACCCCTCTGGCGTTTTGCGCTATAGGGGTTGAAAGTGCGCCATTGGCGATTACTTGGTACCTATTGATTTTACAAAAAAATGTTTCAAATAAAAGATGCGCAACATTATTTGATCTACAATGTTTATCTGAAGACTTTTTTGATTAAGGGCTGTCTGTGGTCATAAGGGCCGTTTGAAATTTTATAATGAAAATAAAAAATTGTAACCAACGTGGAAAAATTTTCTACAACACATACAACATTTTTGATTTATGAAGTTTTTACTCACCCCCGCCGTTTTTCAATAGGGGTTGTTTAAAGTTTTTTTTATTTTTCTACAAAAAAATTTTCTTGATAAAAGTTTTATAAGATTACATTTCCTACAATTTTTCCTTATAAACTTTTTTTATAACTCACCCCCATTCAGCGGGGGACACTTCCCTTTAGTTTTTAGGGGTATATATGATTTTTTTTTCCTTTTCTCGCCTTTAGTGTATATAAAAAGTTGCAATTAACATTGTGACAGGATTTATCTCCCACCACCTTTTTGTTTTAAGGGGTAGTTCGTCTATTTTTTACTTTACAAAAAAAATTTATTGAGAACACTTGTTCATTTTATCATTTTGAACACCTTTTCTTTATAATTTTTTTTTGTTAAGTTAAAAATAGGCGAACTACCCCTAAAAACAAAAAGGTGATGGAAAAAAAATCCTTTTAATACAATGTTAATTGCAACTTTCTATATGCACTAAAGGCGAGAAAAGAAAAAAAAAATTAACATATACCCCTAAACACTAAGATTTTCCTAAGGGAATTGTGCCCCCGCTGATAGGGGTGAGTTATAAAAAAAGTTCATAAGGAAAAATTGTAGGAAATGTAATCTTATAAAACTTTTATCAAGAAATTTTTTTTGTAGAAAAATAAAAAAACTTTAAACTACCCCTATTGAAAAACGGCAGGGGGTGAGTAAAAACTTCATAAATCAAAAATGTTGTATGTGTTGTAGGAAATTTTTTCACGTTGATTACAATTTTTCATTTTCATTATAAAATTTCAAACGGACCTTATGACCACAGACGGCCCTTAATCAAAAAAGTCTTCAGATAAACATTATAGATCAAATAATGTTGCACATCTTTTATTTGGAACATTTTTTTGTAAAATCAATAGGTACCAAGTAATCGCCAATGGCGCACTTTCAACCCCTATAGCGAAAATCGCCAGAGGGGCGAATGTTTGATATTTTCGGTTTTATGATCACCCACCCGCCCCCTATGATCCCTGAAAAGTTCATTTGGGTAGGAATTTTTTTTTTGCAATGCATGTATTTTTCGACCATTTTCCCAGACTAGTACCCGTGATTAATAATTTAGACTGCTGTTTATATTTACAATTCTTGAATAACGAATAAGGCAATCCTAGACGAAGCAATTAATGATCGGAATATACAAGAACGGAAGGCGATATCTAACTAACCTAACCCAAACTAGAGACACTCGACAAAACCCCCGCCAATGCTCATTTCAAGTGGTAGCCAGTCGGACTGGATCAGTTTTGTTTTTGTGTCTCTCGACACCATTTTTGATTCGAGTATTTTTTGAGACGTATTTTTCCCGACAGTATTTATGTCAACCGCAGAAATCCGTCCCGAATAAGTCGTGAACCTCATTCGTCCCAACGCAACGTCACCAAACTCAAACTTCGTATATATTCGTATATAGGCCTCAAGGCTTATCCAGGATTTTGGTTTGGGGGGGCTGTGTTAACAAAAAGGGTTGACCAAAAAAAAAAGCGTCCCAAAAGAAAAAATAATGTGAATGCCCAATTTTTGTAAGGTATCCACATGTAACATACCCAAACGTTGTAACATTTGAAATATCACAAGAACATAAAGTCTGTTTTTTTTTTAAAGATAATTCCCCAAGTCAAAAATTTAGTAACTATGTTGGCAACACAAGCATTTTCTACATAAAAAAATTTAAAGCTTTGACAATTTTACATTGTATTGCTAACACAATGTCATTTTGACTTTTATCTTAAAAAAAAAAACAGATTTTATTTAATTGTTCTTAATTAATTTCATATATTTGAACTCATTTAAGATTCTATTTCGTACACCTAGCGACATCTATGATTCCTCTGACTAGTTTCCTGACCTAATACCGAAAATTATATTATCAAAAGGTGGTTTCGATTTGCTCACTCCGGCACTCCGAGTAACTCCATTCACACTCCAGCCGAATCGAACTAAGGTTCTTCATAAGAAAAACCCGTAGCACTGTCATTTTTATAATTTCGACAGGCTTGACAGAGGAAGAAAGACACAACCACAATTTGATACTTTTGACTTTCTTTCCGATTTTATAGTTAGACTGAAAAGGTCGTCTCTGGAAAATCCAAAAACTTTGGTTTTCATTCTTGGCCATCGAGCCCAAAAGTATATAAATTTAACTAGCCAGAAGAGTGAGTAATTATGTCAGCTGGAACGTTTCCCGAAAAATCAACAGATTGTTGATTTTTGTGTAAATTTTTGAAAGTGAGGTTAATTAACGACCGTTCCGGTATGTAAATCCCTTTTTCCCTTTGATAAATGAGTCCTTATATTTCTTCAATCCGTTCAGGCAATTTGGGAGAGTATTAAAAATCCACGCCTACACTTCTGGGTGAAAATTTGATAAGTTTGAGACCATGCTGTACTGCATTTCCAAAGCAAGTCTGGGCCCCCTCTACAAGGAAAGATCTGTCTTGTAAGAGATTGATCCCCTACCATTGGATGATTGCCTTCCGTCAGTTTGGTGCTTCTGGATCTCAAATTTATGAAAATTTCCAAGGATTTCGTCCAGGCTTGTATAATTACTTACCTATGGGTCCCGTAACTGTGCCTTATTAATTACTGTTACCTTATATTATCTTTTTTCTACCGCTCCCTATCGATTAGCTTTATTAGCTAATAATTATCTTTACAAATATTAATAACTGTTAAGTATTATTACAATTTTTTAGAGTTTTTATCGTCTGTTATATAATTTAAAGTGTTAATTTTAGTGGCATGCAGACGCATAAATTAAGAACCATTAATTGCGAATGTGTTCCCCATACCTCCTAACTCACTCCCATACCAACGGTAACCGCCGAAGGTTGCCGATGGTCACAAACTAACAACTTAAAAATTGATGAAAGACTTGATCGACTGGGTAGAAATGAGACAGGTCTCGGTGGCTCAGTTGGTAGAGCATTACACTGGAAATGTAGGGGTCCTGGGTTCAAATCCCAGTCGAGACAAGAAAATTTTTCATCAACTTTTAATTTGTGCGTCTGCATGCCACTAAAATTAACACTCTTTAAATTATATAACAGACGATAAAAACTCTAAAAAATTGTAAAAATATTTGGCTTGATATTGATGGTTGGACGTCCGATTCCGATGCCTGCCGATGTCGCTATATGTCGACGACGCATCTGGTTGAAGGGATAATGGCTTCCAAACAACCATTAATTGCGAATGTGTTCCTCATACCTCCTAACTCACTCACACACCAACGGTAACCGCCGAAGGTTGCCGATGGTCACAAACTAGCAACTTAAAAATTGATGAAATACTTGATCGACTGGGTAGAAATGAGACAGGTCTCGGTGGCTCAGTTGGTAGAGCATTACACTGGAAATGTGTGTAGGGGTCCTGGGTTCAATCCCAGTCGAGACAAGAAAATTTTTCATCAACTTTTAATTTATGCGTCTGCATGCCACTAAAATTAACACTCTTTAAGTTAATTATTACTATCTTTTTCTTTATCGCTCACTATTGATTAACTTGATTAGCTAATTAATATCTTTGTAAATATTAATTACCGACTTATTTACCGTATTGTAGTATTTGGCTAAAATAGCTAACTACAGTTCAATGTAATTTTTTATTGATTAATTAATCATTATCGTAATCAGATAACTACCTTTATTATCGTTTTCGTTATCTTTATCTAGTATCCAATAATTATGGATCATTAAAATTATTACAAATTTATTTCTTTTATATCGAATACCGATCGATATAATATTAATTAACTTTTAGGAGTTAATTTAACCTTTAATTTCAAATCAGGTGGTAATTCTACAAGGTAAACCAATGTAAAATCTTTAAGTAGTTGAATTTGAGTTTCATGGTTACATATTTTAAATTTTAATTACAGGTAAGACGGTAGAGCTCTCCCCGATACTTTTGATTATAGGTTTTGGCATTTATAACTCCCTAGGGATTACTTATTACCTTTATGCATTTATAAATTTGATTTTATTGATTTGACTTTAGTCAAAAATTGAAAGTTAATTGTATTAGGACTTCATCATTTATACTTAGGTAAATTTCATCATGGGTATCTATTGATTGTTTTTGAATTTCAATCTTATTATATGTACTTATATTAAGTTTTGCTTTTAGAAAGCTGCTTAATGATTTTTTTTTTTAACTTGGATACTAGACAATAATTTTCTTTGAACCAAAGAAAAAAAAGTTCGCCATCTTTTCACAAATGTTTAATGACATTTAATTAATAAATAATTGTGTTTAGAATTCCAAAGCTTGTGTTTTTATTGAATAGGTTAAATGTCAGATAGCTATTGAATTTTGGATTTATTTTACCTTTTCAGATTTTTTTTTTGAATTTATCTTTTTAAACAATAACTAATTAGTGGAATAGTGCCTAGTTTGGCTATTCCTTGGTAATCAAAATAATGTTTACAAACTAGTGGCGCCCTCTCTCTACTGTACCAACACCAAGGACCACCCCAAGCTAAACAACCACTGAGCAATAGTCGAGCACAAATTATGAACATTCTTTTGTTTCGACAAAAGAGCGTTACAACGTTACGCG